AATTCCTCTTCAGCATTGATCGTGCATCCTGCTCATCTTTGTCCATCACGTGTTTCGGCAGGTAAGTGTCAAGAATTGCATACATGTGGGTGATAGGTCCAAACTCGAGCTCGATCTCAGACTGTTTCCGTCTAACGTCATTGAGGGTCCTCATCACGTACCCGAGAGCATCGATGTCGCCGTCCTCCACTGTACGGTTCATGCGTTTAGCAGTCGTTTTGATCTGCTCCGTCAAAGCTTCCAGCCGGTCTCTTGCCTTCACATGCAGCTGTTTACTGAACGCCACCTTCCATTCGTTGGCCAAACCCTTCAAGCCTTTTGCGAGGCTCTCTGGTCGGAGTAGGAGGGCGCCGATCTGGCGAGAGGACTCGAACAAATCAAGTTTCTCATCTAATTGAGCGAAGCTGCGCAGTTTGCACTCGAAGTCATCCAAGGTCGGATTAGTAGCCTCGAACTCCTTGTACTTATCTTCAATGCTGTCTTCCCATAACCAGCCGTAACAAGAGAAGCGCTCCAGATAGACGTTACATTCATCCTCGGAATTCTGAACAGCTCCAGTGAGCATGAGAATAACCTTGAGGATCTCCTTGTCTTGAGCTACACGATCGTAGAAGGTGCCCTGACTGCCGAGGCTTATGACCGGAGGCAGGTTCGGGTTGAGTATCATTTGCACGCTCTTCGGTATGGTCACAGTGTCCCAAGCCTCGATCATCTTACTGCACTTCAATATGGACACAGCACCACCGTTCACAGCCGACTGCAGCTCTTCTACACTGGGGTCAAGACGGACAGAGACACCATCAAGCTGCAGGTTGACCTCGAAGAAGGGTGAAGGCAGCTCATCGTATTCCACCGAGGAGACGATCGGCCTTGCGCAGATGCGGGCCTTGAGAAGCTGGAGACTCCTCTTCGTTGCACTCAGCAGGGCCTGGTACATAGACCAATTATAATGTGCTTTCACTTTGATGAGCTCCGACTCGGATACTCCATGTACCTACACAGAATAGGTAGTCGCACAGTACGGAAGCTGAGAACTTACGTTTGGATCGACCGGGTAGGCCACAATTGCTCCAAGCATATCGTCAACAGCCGCTTCAATCTCGGCTGACTTAGCCGTAAGCACGCTGGTCATGTCCCGGACATGCCGTTCCTGGAGTTCAACGAAGTCATCAAGACTCACAACCTCTCCTTCTTCTGGCAACTCTAATAGTATCATGCAAGACACATCCTTGAGATTAGCATCAATACGATTATCCATCAAATCGTTCACCTGAGCGAATCACCATTTACAATGGTAGAACGCCCAGTCTAACAAACTCACCGTTCTGACAAGCTCCTCCAAAGCATTGAGTTCCGACCATAAATTCTCCACATATGACTCTATATTCAGAGACGTCCAAGTGAGAGCAATCATTCCAGGCCTAAGCTGGTACTCCATATTGTCCATATGCGGTTTGAGGAGGTTCGTCACGACCGGCTTTATAGCCTGTACCACTCGACGATACTCTTTCAGAATGTACGACAGTTCATTGTAGTGTTGCTTGAACTTCTGTTCTTGTAATAGCACAAGTCGCGCTGGCCCAGGAACCTCTACTCCGATGCGTTCAAGGCACTTGGTCTCCCGTATCAACTGAAGAATCTCCCAGTCGAAGTTGACATAGAATTTGCCGTCATCAGGATGTCGGACAATCAGTGTAGCATGGAGCCCGCTCTTGGCAACCTCGATTGAGTTGAGCCATGCCTCATACCACAACGTCTCGAACTCGACCAAAGTCTTCGCCATCTTGTTGTACATTCTGATGATTTTGCGAGCATCCTTGCTTTGGAGAATAGTCGGATTCTTCTGAAAGCGTTTCATCGGCCCTTCGATTCGCCGGAGCAGATGACGAC